TTTTTTTCTCTTCTTTTCTCCTTCCCTCTCCCCTTCTCCCTTCCCTCCTCTCTAGCATTGTTTTCTTTCCTCCCTCTCTTCACTCTTTTTAAAATTTCTCCATTTCTCTCTCTTTCCTTCCCACTATCCCTTCCTCTTTTTCTTCTTTAAAAAAATCCTGCAGGCCCACCAAGTAATTCTATATGAACAATTGTTTCCTTCATTTGCAAATAAGCATTGTTTTGTTCATTGCACAAGCAACCATTATCCTTCAAATATGCTTTGTATACCATGTAATTTAGTTGTTACAGTTCTCCTAATCTCTATCACATGGAATTCTCATAACTTTCTGCAAGTAGCAGAGTGGAGTAAAGAACTGTTGGATGAACACTTACTTCTATACATAGGACAACAATATTGTAATTATGGCTTCATTTGATATTTCAATGCGAAGGAGATCACATGGTATCTAAATACAATCATGTATACCCCATAGTTTAATTTTTCACTGTGTTACTTTTTAAATGCTCATAGAAAAATAGTCACCTTAAAAATAAAATCTTATGCAGTTCCCATGTATTATTTCATTATCAACGTCTTTTGTATTGACTACATACCCCTCATCACACTTATAAACAACCTTCGCACCATATTCAAACTCATCTCCTACCATGAGCTCAAAAGAACCAAAGGGAGTATCTCCAGGATGTCCACAGGGCTTTTCTAAAGCAAGAGCAAATATGAATAATATTAGTGAGTCATACAAAGTGAGCACTTTATGTAGGAGTTGGGGGACAAATATATTTGATATCAGACTAGAGGACAGCATTAAATATAAAGAAAGTTGAAAATGCCAAAGCGATTTTGGAGTTGAATGCATCTGCCGCTTTTACTTTCTATTTTCATGGGGTTACTCCCCTCTTCTAAAATAATGACGAATTATTTTGTTTTAAAATGAAAATATGACATAATTCAGCCGATAAATGTCAAATTATTAGGTGTTTGACAAAAAGTTTTTGTCAAAAGTCTTTGAAAGTTTCTGTAATTTTCACCAACATATGAGGTACTTACTCCGGCATATCCTGGCTGGATTAAGGGCCACCCACTCCCCATTCCTGCAGACCCTTATGATAGTTCCGAGAGTTCTGTATCCAGGGCGGCATTTGTACGTAGCCTGAGTGTTTTCGGGATAAGCTTGGTCAGGCCAGGCACCTGACAGAATTTCTGTATTTTGTCTTGGAGGAGGTCCTGTACAGTCTACAAATAATAAAACCAATATAAGTGCCTACATGTGTATTTAAAGATAGAGTACATTTATTTTCATTTTAGAAATATCTATACACTTAAAGGTTCATCCAAGGTATACCTTCATAGGTATACATGTTATCTTGTGGAAACTGAGTCCATATAATTCTGTAGGAATATCCACTACGTAAAATTAAATCAATTTTCAGATCAGTGGATATGCTTCATTATTCTTAATTGTTGCATGCCCTTCAATCATTCTTTCACTGATTAGGCATTTTTATTAATTCTGAAGAAAAAACAATGAATAAAGTGAAGTATCTCTCCTGAATGTGACTTTATCTTAGTAGGAAATTTACATATTAACAAATATCTGTGTTGTGTTCATTTTCCCTATGGCATTTTAATATCAATTTTACATTACAAATAGTTGTCACTATGTCATGGTCTTGATTTTTCATTCATTTCTCAATATCTTCTGTATTTTGGCAGTTTTT